TACCCACATTATATATTTCAATAATTACTTATCGCAAGTTCATAAAAATCCTGTCTTGCAAATATTTTCAAATGTTGCATTTTGCACTCCATTTCAATGGTAAGTGCTTTGTATACACTATAGTGCTTTGTAAGTGCTTTGTAAGTGCTTTGTTCGTGCACGAAATACAACCACGGTCAACATCACGCTGCTGTCCGATATGTCCTTTCCGTTTTGTTTATGTTTGTCTCACCAATCGAATATGTGCTCAGCACCTGGACAATAGTCACCACTCAATACAAGGGGTATTTACAAGAAGTAATATATGTTTTCCTTTGCACTAGTCTCGTATCCTCTTGTTGGTCTGGAACGAGGCGATGAAAACCGAGTGTCGAAGTTGAGCTTATTTTGCTACTCTTCAATCAACAGAGGCATATGAAGTCTCAGGGGGCGCGGGAACTACTTCCAGACTGGGGAGTGGGGGGCACACCATAATAGAGATCAACCTAGGGCACCCTCATATCTAGTTTTCCACTGGTTTTAGGCCACCTATTTTTCACCGCTTGGCTTCTTCAACCAAAAAAAGAAAACATTTTCAAAAAATGCGGTATTCCGTCTCAAAGTTGTGGGGCACCACCCCCACGGCCCCAGAGTTGGGTGGGGAGGCTGCCCCACTGCCCCCCCCCCCCCGGTTCCCGCGCCTATGATGAAGTCTTGATGCAATTTTCAGTTATTCTAAAACATAGCCTTCAACATAGTTTGTAAAATCTGCGTAATTCCTCAAATGACGAGTGCCGGTTTAGGTCTTGTTTTTGCGCCTCTGGTGGAGAACCACTGTAAAAAATGCTAACAAACCAGTTAGTTAATTCTTCAAGCAAAATCTAGTATTAAAACACACGTTGTTGCAAAAAACGGGTCAGATAACACATATGTTTGCAACCTAACACCACATCCATTTCATCGAAGCAGAAAAGCTAACATCATTGTAAGCCGACAAATATTATCCGTGCAAACCATGCCGTGTTATTTGACAAACATGTTTGTTTATGCTTCCTTTGCCTTTTTTTCTAGATAACGTGTTAACTAACAAATGAAACGCATGTTGAAACCCACAATCTTAGTTTTCTTACTACCCTTTTTGTTGTAGCATTACAAAGACCTTAGTTAATTGAAAAAAAAATCGCCATTTTGGGCGCCCCTCTGCGCCCGCCATGTTCAGTCTGTGCCAAGTCGGAGAAGGGAGAGGACGTGTGCGTTGTGAAGGAGCTGAGCTGTGGCGTATAAGTGTTGCGTGTGCAGTATGTAAGGAGCTGCTGTGATGTTAACCCACGAGCCGCTGGGGGGGGGCATAAAGTTGCCCCCCCTTTACGTTTTGTAAAATATCTCCGAAACCTGATGAGCTACGAACGTGAAACTTGGCATAGCTTCAAATGAATACCTAGGCAATGTTTGAGGAAAGTTTGGTGGTTGTAGCACCTAAGATGACGTCACAGTGACGTCATAAAGTTTTGTCGTTTTCCGATATGGACCGTTTCTGATGACGCTGAGCATGAAACTCGACTGTAAATGAACTAGACAGCACCTGCTGTCATCCTAAAACATCTTACTACACTTCCATCTAGTTTCTGACCAATAATCGGCCCTTTATATTCGGTCCCATATATGTGATGTATCGTGAGGAATATGAGAGTCGCAAATCTATAATTTCACTTATGACGTCACTGTGACGTCATTTCAAATGGGATCGACACCAAATTTGGACACAACCTCGGCTAGGTATTCAGGAAGATGTGTGCAAAGTTTCGCTTCTCTATCTCTTCGCGTTGCGACGATATCGTCGCAGAAGTAAAGGGGGGGGCAACTTTATGCCCCCCCCCAGCGGCCGGCGGGTGGCGCGGAGGCCCAGCGGCCGCCGGGTTAAGAATAAGAATAATAATAAGTCAAACAGTGAAATGATATGGATTGTTGGAAATGGCTTTCATCCTTACTGGTATGGTGAGTGATTATGGGAAATATCAGTGCAGATATTGCTGGCGTTTTAGTGTGGTTTATGTACCTATGTCACTCATTTTCTTTTCAATTGAACCTCCAACCAGGCTTTATAGGGTCTCAGGTTGGAGACACTCACTGTTCATTTGTTGACTGTCAATTGACGTCTATAAGTACATATGACGGACTGAACAATGAGCATGTTGCACACTAAAACCGCATTAAGCTTTGAACAAGAAATTAAATGTACCTAATTTTTGGTTGGGCACTCAACCAGTGAACGCGGTGAGGTGCTGTTTTATGCAATTCCTGTCACTGCACCCATGTTGTCAAATAAATTTCTTGTAGACACATGAGCCACCATTGTTCGGTCAGGGAATTTTTGCCATTTTGTTGCAATTTAGTTTACCCATATCGACAGAAATGAAGCATTCTCAATGTTTTCGTGATAGTTATTTGGAGCCTGTATGGTGTCATGGCTGGTGCGGATTCCTGCAGGCTATATATAATTGCAGGTGTGAATCAGTGCAGATTTGTCACCACGACCGGTGCAGATTACCGACTGATTTATGACGTTGGTTGGCTTGAGGTTGGTTGCGTTGCTTCATTCGTTGGTTTGAATAAACATCTTTGTGTTTAAATACTCGTCTGTATGATACTTTTTTTAAATAAAAATTTCGACGCCTGTCGCAACACGGTGTGTGAAAACGCACAACATGTATATAAACTGTAAAACATATTTGCACGTTTCGAGTCATCCTGGCAAATCTCACTAACCAAATGCGTGTAAACTTTGTATTTACACACTGCATCCCGATCCCGAAGTTTATAACGCATTTGGCTAATGATATTTGCCTGGATAACATGTGCACGTTGTGCAACTCTCGGCAGAAGCTTGTGAAGCTTACTCACATTTTGCGTGTAAGCGTGTTTCTTCTGTGTGTGTTATGTAACACCGAAGTTAGTAATCCTGCAACTAGGCGATGCCTAGTTACATGATAACTGACTTCGGTGTTACATAACACGCACAAAAGGAAACACGCTTACACGCAAAATGCTAGTAAGCTTCACACGCTTTTGCCTAGTGAGATTTGCCAGGATAACTAACTTTTTAGTTACTCTACACGCATAATATTAGTACATTGACAGGTAGATATTAGTTAAGTAACACGGTCACACGCAAAAGGCGTGTAGGTCAACACCACGTCGAAAACTAATGTCTTAGTTTCATAACACGTTTTTTCTTAAAAGCGTGTTATATAAAACACGTTTGACCAGTAGATGCGTGTAAACTTTACACGCTTTAGGTTAGTGAGATTTGCCATGATAACACGGAAGTTAGTTAACATTTTTTACAGTATACTTCACTTCAGATGAGGTGCGATGATCTACTGCATTCCGCGTCGGACACTAACGTGCGTCGAGATCGGCCCTCGCGTGCCGAGATCGTCCCGCGCGCACCACATCGTGTAACATTTCAGTAGGCGGAGCTATGGTCATGAGTACCCAAATATAGGAACGTTCCCATTTTTGGGAACGGAGTTCCCAAATATGGGAACGGGCGTTCCCATTTATGAGAACGGAAGGCAATTTTTCGGCCGTTCGCCCACTAAAACTCAAAAGTGCATCACGTCTCAAAAAAGTGCACGCTGATTTAAGTATCTACTAAATCTCCATAAAGTTATCTTTAATCTGACCGTGGAACAAGGAAATTGACCGTGGAATGATATTTTTAATGATTTTTTAAAAATGACAGAATGGTGGAAATATGGGTTATACGACATTTAACATGCAATTTTAAGGAAAATGAAGCATTTTTTACATTTTGAGGTCAAGTATAATAATTTTCGCCTGGTTATGAAGTTTCATTCTAGCGACACCAGATGCTGACATATGCAAGCGAACACGCGGGCAGTCCCGAGGTAATATTGTTGACTTTTGGTGTCGGGGCGATCGACCGCGTGGAACGTCAGTGATTTTACCGAACTACTGTTGTAAACTCAGTTTCAGTGGTTTAAAATCATTCAGCTGTATTTTATCAGCCCTGAAAGACATATTTTATTTGGATGCTAGCTGTTTAGCGTTGTTTTATAAGCAGCGTCATGAGCGTGGTTTTTGTCTTCGGCGTTTCTAAGCATGATCGTTTGGGGGGAATTTCTCTGATATAGGTCGCTCTGTGTGGCTTATTTATAATTTTTATGCTGATTTCGATCATACCTCGTGCCCATCCTACCAGGCCTTTTGCCACTTACACTCATTAAGAAAGGAAAAAACTAGATTTTCATTGGGACTAGGTGTTTTGAGGGTGTAACATATTCAGCGTTCCCATTTTTGGATACTTCTTGTGCTCGTCAACTCTCGGTGATTAGCAGACAGGTGCTTGACATGTCTCCACCCTCGGCGCGGACGGTGGATATAGGTATGGAAGACCTTGTTGAACATCGCTGAGCGTTGTGGATTACGTAATCCTGCAGAGGGGGGCGTGCCCGCTGCGAGATCGACGGGAATAAAAGCGCAGAAGACCGGGCGAAACATGCAACGGTCTTGCCGGAAAGGTCATCTGATGATTGTTGCGTTAACAATAATTTGCGGCGTTGGACGTGATGCTTGTTAATGAAAAGAGCCCCTGAAAGGCGTCGGTGAAATCGTTCCCAATTTTGGGTACGCCGTTCCCATAATAAGGAACGCTTGCAGCGCCAGTGTACGAGAGCGTTCCCAAATTTGGGCTCGCGGCCCGGGTGATGGACTGCTTTAGAAATAGGGGAACGATTTGAAACTACGATGGGCCTTACAATATCAAACTCTTTCCCAACAATATTGAGACAACTATCAGGCGGTTCACGATCGTTTTATATTTTTTGGACGTCATTTAACAGTTCTTTTTCTTGTTTTAAATAATGCCTACATGGCGTTCCCATATTTGGGTTTATCGTTCCCAAACATGGGAACGAAAATGCGTTCCCGAAAATGGGTACGCTTGACCATAGTTCCGCCTACTGATTTGATTAACGACTCCTCTCTTCTCACCTCAGGGACAAACGGAAAACGACGGCAACCTCAGAGGACAACTCGGACAGCGACGACGAGCGGCGGCCCACGGGCAGCGAGCACGGAGCCGGAGGCGACGCCAAGCACACCGCCGGTCAGCCGCAGCCGCCCCAGCAGCAGCAGCAGCAGCAGCTTCCGCAGGTGAGGTCACTGCTGGCGGTATACATCAAAGGCCGCCGGCCCGCACACCCGACCCCGCGTGCACGTGCGGTAGTACCGTGATGTCGACCAGAGCCACGGGCGCTGCCGTCTGGTGTTCACTGGAGGGTTACATAACCGGGCAAATGAGACTAATGACATCGCTCGTCGAGCAGTCATATCCAATAACGTCAGATTCCGTTTCAAGCGTATTGGATGTCGGTCAAACATACACAGTATCACATCAGAACTTCGTCCGGCATGTTTTGCATACCATATTCATCCTCGTTTGTGATAGCCAGCCTTGTCTAATGTAGAATTAATTTCAAAAGCGGCTCGGCCGCAATCCAAAACTCTCTAATTGCAGATAACGACCTTGCAACATCAAACGGGAACCGTACGACCGCGCGCATTGGCTTCCGCTCAGTTTCACTCCCGGCCTCTTTCTCCGGCTCCTCCCCTCTCCATCGTCGTCGGTGGTCTCTCTCTCGGGGACGTTTGTGGCGCGCTGTATCGATTTGCGGCGCAACTCTCGTCACGGTGCCACAAGCGACGCACCAATGGGGCTGCGACGCGGCCGGGGCCGGCGCGAATCACTTTATCGGCATCGACGCGTCGGCCAATTGCTTGGATCGTGTGACCGGGGCGGGGCCTCGAGGGAGGGGCGCTTCCCGCGCCGCGGACGGGCGCAGCCGATTATCGAGGCAGATCTGACGGCACTTCACAGCGCGGAAGGGAGAGAATGGGATGCGTTGGGTTTTTTGATTGACTACTAACAGCGCGAGGATAAGAATAAGGTGTCTTTCCACTGTTAAATATAGATAGGTACTTTTTATTCGAACTAAATCTATAAACTTCTAAATCAATGAATTGGTCCCTTCATTTCAGTTGCTATTCGCGTTATTCATGATAACCATTTGCTCGAATTGCGAGTGGCTGTCGCCCACTATCGAGCAATTTGCTGCAGAGGAGAATGAACAAAGAGCCACCAACTTGCCATTTACTTTTAAAACAAAATTAAAGGGACTATCCCACCTTCAAAAAAGTACCGTTTGGGATTCGGAAATGTTACTCATGATATTTTGACGAATTCTGCAAGTTTTTACGCGTTTTCATCGTATACTTTTTGAGATATTGCGTGGAGGATCTGGAGATGTTATAGTGTGACGTTAAAGTCACGCGACATCTTTATTTTACGAGTTCATGGTTTTTGAGAAAATACACGGAGTTGATATCGAGACATGTAGTCCTGTTGTTTTATACCTTACATGGCGCGGTCGGAATATCCATTTGCACTATAGAAATGTCACGTCGTAGGCGCCGTCAAATGGGCGCAATGGACAACAGTGCAACGAGTGCAGAGCCTGCGCAAGATGGCAATGTCAACGAGTGTGTGGCATTGGTACAGAGCCAGCAGCAGATGCTGATGACATTGCTGCAAGAACAACAGCGACTGCAGAGTGAACTGGTGAGACAAAACCAGGAGATGAGACAGCAGCAGCAGCAGCAGCAAACGAGCCGGGCATCGGTGAGAAATGTCCCTTCCTCGTCCCTCTCCAGCAAGGCTACTTATGACATGTCCATGCAGCAGTGGAGAATTTGGAGACGGGATATTGTGCAGTTCGCTGAGATGTGCGGCTGGGATGTCAAGACCACCGTCATGAACATTCGTCTGCAGTGCGACGAGAAGTTGAAGCGGGTGATAGAGGCTGAGTTTGGAGATAGATGGATCGAGCTGACGGCGGATCAGGCCCTGACCGCCGTGGAATCCATCCTGCGAAAGGCTTCCAATCCCGCCAGAGAAAAGGAAAAATTCCACAAACTGAACCAGCAACCAGGTGAGACGGGCAAAGCATTTGTGCACCGCTGCGAACAGCAGGCTCTCGAGTGTGACATGGCCTGTCCACACTGCAGCAAGGACTTGTCGGAATGGTGCATCCGTGACAGGGTGCTGGCTGGTCTCCACAGCGATCAACTGAAGATCGATCTGTACCAGAACATTGACAAATATCAAACTCTGGCCAGCCTTGTCGAGAAGATCGACATTTTTGAAGCGGCAAGCGCAGGGTGCTCTGTTCTGGCACATGTGGATGCAGACGGAGAGCCAGAGTCGTCAGAACCTGCTGATGACGGTGAAGCAGCAGTGGCGGCGCTGAAGTCCGCCTACAAGCGAGGACAGTCAAAGTCTCACCAGAAAGCTGTATCCAGTCTACCAGATCGAGGCGGCACAGTGCACGAGCGAAGAAATTGCCGAAGAGACATCGTATGTTTCAAGTGCGGTGGCAAAGGTCACCGTCAGGTGCAATGTCCCAGTCAAACCGGAGCAACAGCAAGTCACGTGGCATCCGACACGCCTAACGGGCGCACAGCAAATCATTCCATATCCATGGCGTTGATGGACGAGCTAGCAAGCTGGCAGAGGTCTGCTTGACGGTGAGGCCCAGGACACACAAGGCCGCTCAGTGTCCGGCGGTGGCTGACACAGGAGCAGAGTGCTGTGTGGCAGGGACACAGCAGCTGAAGATGTTGGACTTGAAGGTGTCCGACCTGGATAAAGCCCACGGCAAGATTCGCCATGCCGGAGGTGGTGCATTGAGAGTCCTGGGAAAGAAGAAATGCACGCTCCAGCTGGCCAACAGGACCACAACACAAGATGTCTTCTTCATCCAGGGGGTAGAGCGTTTTTTCCTATCTGTAGACGCGTGCAAAGATCTGGAGCTGATCAACAAGAACTTCCCATACCACACACAGGATTCTGTGATGACAGCCGGCGCGGTGAGCAGCGATCCCGCTGTGAGCCTGTCTGGGCCGGGGAAGAGGACCATGCCGGCACGCCCTGACCAGATGCCGTTTACCCCCACAGAAGGGAACGTGCCGCAGCTGGAAAGATTCTTGAAGCAGCAGTTTGCTGACACCACCTTCAACAGAGAGGCTGTGCCTCTTCCAGCGATGAACTGTGTGCCGCACACGATTCACCTCATGCCGGAAGCGATACCGTTCGCGCGTCACACGCCCATTCCAGTGAGCAAACATTGGGAAGACGAAGTTAAAGCTCAGCTGGACGAGGATGAGCGAATGGGAATAATAGAGAAGGTCCCGGCAGGCCAGCCTACCGTGTGGTGTGCCCAGATGGTAGTGGTGCCTAAGGCAGATGGAAGACCACGTCGAACCATCGACTATCAAGAGCTGAACAAGTTCTGTGTAAGGGAGACGCACCACACCAGAGTCCCGTTCGACATGGTGTCGTCCGTCCCGAAGCAAACCTACAAGACAACACTGGATGCCTACTGGGGCTTCCACCAAGTACCGCTGGCTGAGGAAAGCCGACCACTCACGACGTTTATCACGCCGTGGGGCCGATATAGGTATCTGAGGACACCTATGGGCCACTGTTCAGCGTCTGATGCCTATACAAAGAGGTACGACGATGCGGTGGTTGACATCGACAGAAAGTTCAAGTGTGTGGATGACGTGCTGCTATTTGACCACGGCATAGAAGAGGCCTTCTGGCACTGCTGGACATACCTAGATGCGTGCGGCAGAGCAGGTGTGACGCTGTCACCTGAGAAGTTCAAATTCTGCAGGCGTGAAGTCGAGTTTGTCGGGTTCAAACTCGGCTGGGACGCATATGGACCGGCCCAAGGGAAGCTGGCGGCCATCTCTGAGTTCCCGATGCCAGCTACCCCAACCATCACAGATATCCGGTCATTCGTCGGTCTGGTGAATCAGGTGGCGCCATTCGTGGCAACGGCACCCGTCATGGAGCCTTTCAGAGAGCTGCTAAAAAATCCCCAATCGAAGCATGTGTACTGGGACGACCAGCTAAGGAGACGGTGCGAGGAGGTGAAGTCACAAATAGCCGAGCTGGCGGCACGCGGTTTGCAGTATTATGACAAGCACAAACCGACCGCTCTGCTGACCGACTGGAGCAAGACTGGAGTCGGCTTCGTGGTTCTACAACAGCATTGCAAATGTACAGGCGGGGACAAGCCGTTTTGTTGTCCGAACGGATGGAAACTGGCACTGTGCGGAAGCCGTTTCCTGACGCCAGCAGAGCAGCGATATGCCGCTGTGGAAGGAGAGGCCCTCGCAATCGTCTGGGCCCTGCGGAAGGCAAGACTGTTCCTGTCAGGCTGTCCAAATCTGGAGATTATCACTGATCACAGACCGCTAGTGAAGCTGTTCTGTGACAGGCAGCTCAAGGATATCTCCAACCCACGGCTGTTCCGGCTGAAGGAGAAGACTCTCCTGTTCAGGTTCTCTATTCGGTTCCGCCCGGGTAGATTGAACGCCATAGCAGACACGCTGTCTCGCTATCCTGTGGAAAGGATAGGGCCGTCCGAAGCAGACCTGGCATTGGAAGACGAGCTGACCGTGGCGGCCATGACAGCGCTGGAGGAGTGCAGTGACATGATCACTGTCGACCAGGAGATGGTGCGTCAGCATGCACAAAATGATGGAACCTACCAGCTGCTGAAGCAGCGCATTGAAGGAGACACGTGGCCAGGAAGCTGCTCAAACGAGGTGAGCGAATTGAAGGCATTCTTCAAGGTGCGGAGCAGTCTCAGCGTGGTGGATAACTTGATATGCTACTTACACGAAGGTGGCGCCCTGAGACTAGTCATCCCAGAAACCCTGAGAACGCTGGTCGCTCAAAATTTGCACGCAGCACATCAAGGCACAGGAAACATGCTGAGGCGGGCCAGACAGGCAGTGTACTGGCCAGGATTTGAAGCTGATGTGGACAGGGCGAGGCTTCGGTGCACAGAGTGTGATTACCATGCACCCTCGCAGCCAGCTGAGTCACTTATCATGACACCACCGCCCGAATACCCGTTCCAGCAGGTGGTTGCTGACCTATTCGAGGTGCGCGGTCATCGCTACATGGTGTACGCCGACCGACTAACGGGGTGGATCAAGCTGGATCATCTCCGCTCGTTCGCATCCAACATCATCATACCGATACTGCAGCGGCATTTCTCCCAGTACGGAGTGCCAGAGCA